TATTAAAAAGAATAGCAACTGGGAGTTTAAATTGACTATTATTATTGCTTATTCTTGTTAATTATTCTTCCCAATCCTTCTCCCCCAACCCCAAACCCTGTTATAAGTTAAGTGTTGATCAGGAAGGAATTGACTTTCGTAAAGGATTCAAAGGAACTCATCTCTGAGGCGGTCCCGAGGCTCGGGTAACAAGAGGCTGCCTGGAGCTCCGAGGAGAGGGCTTCTGTGGGCCACGGGGACTCATCCCTGTGCGACAACTGGGCTGCAAGGCAGCTGATGGAGGCAGAGCCCGGGCTGTGCCCTGAGGCTGCCGGGACCTCTGGCTCAGAGCTGCAGACCGGTGCCAGTTCCTCCTGCTGGCAGGGGACGCAGGCTGAGCTGGCCTGGGCCTGAGATGCCAGACAGGTCCGCACCATCTGACTTCCATTGAGTGTCTGGGAGGTGAGGGGCTGTGACAGCTTCACATTACCCAGACAGTCAGGCAGTGCTGTCCTGAAGGGACCGAACGGTCTAATGGGGGACACAGATGTGCAGACATATTTCAGACACACGCCGTGGTTAAAAGCACAGGCTTAGGTTTCAGGAAGACACGGGGTAAAGTCCCTGACTCACCACTATGTAGCTCTAGGCAAACTCAGTTTTCTCCTGGGAAGCTCAGCTTGCACACCTGTAAAATGGGGATGAAACCAGCAGCACCAAGCAAAAAGAGCTCTCCTTAGGATCTGAACTGATGTATGGAAACTGGTCAGCCCAGAACCTTCAGCTAGGAGATTATTACCTGGTTGCAACTTGTACATTAAAGTAGTGATTCTTAAGAAAGAGGGAGTGTCTGTCGTGCACAGCTTTGAGAACTGTATTCAGTCTATTTATTGCTGTGTAATTTACAGTCAACTAAATCTTTAGACCGCAGCACCAACTCAATGGACATGAACCTGAGCAAACTGTAGGAGGGAGTGAAGGACAGGGAAGCCTGGCGGGCTGCAGTCCGCGGGGTAGAAGTCAGACACAACATAGCGATTGGACATCTTTGCAGCGGGAGTGGCTCTGTAGGCGACCCGGTGAGAAAGCCGTGTAGGGCAGCGGGCTGGAAGGGCAGGGTAAGGGGAGGGTGCATGTGGGGCCTTGGGGTGGAGGAGAACGTGACCTGCACGATGGAGGTCGAGTTGGAGTGAGACAGAGCTGGCCCATCTGGCCTGGGGAGCCCAGAGCTTCCAAGGAGAGAGACTTCTGCCTTGAGCATGGGCCTTGGGAGGGAACAGCCCTGCCCACAGCGGGGTGGGCAACATAGGCCAGGGCCAGAGCCAGTTCTCAGAGGGTTCAGGTACCACTGGGGAAGCATGGAGGTTGCTGGGCCATAAGCAGAGAAAGGCATGGCCTGTGGTCTGAAGGAGTGTGCTGGCGCAGACTTGAGGATGGGAGACAGAAATCCGGGCGAGAAACGAGCGGACTGACCCCAAGAGTGGCCGTGGCTTAGGAGGGGGCCACGTGGGTGGCCACGTTCAGTGATCAGCCACGAGGGGGAGGAGCGAGAGAGGAGAGACGCCCGAGGCCTGGGTCCTGCCCCGGCCGGCTCCTCCTGCCTCCTGGACCCAGCGCACCGGGGTCTGTGAGACCCCTCTCACCAGTGCCAGGAAAAAGCGGAAGGGATGCGCCATCCATGAAGCGCACAGCCGGGCTCGTCAATCCCGGCAAGCGCTCCACGTCTTATTATACAAGTGCACGAAGAGCCATTTGCATAGTTCTGACTTTCCACTGCTCGAAAATAGACAAGAATCACTACCCAACAGTTGCTATAGACATGCTCTTACCAGTACTAGGTTTTATTTTTAAAAATAATTGGCTTTATTGTGCTAGAAATAGTCTTTGTACATATATGCATTTTTAAAGTTGGCTTGCTTTGATTTCCATGGACCCGATAAATAAAATTAATTCTGTGTCTCACAATGAACTAAGTTAATTTGTTAGGCAAGTAATTGAAAGACTATTTTGTGCTTAATTGCCCAGTGCTCTTGCTAAGTGGTACCTCTGTCCCCACCCCCGGAGGTCCCGGAGGACGGAGCCCGAGGGTGACTGGGTATCACGTCTCCAGTCCCAAGGCGGTTAACTGGGCCCACGGGAGGCATGTGGCCACCCAGAGAGACACACGGGGCTGTGGGTCTGCGTAGACGGGGCCTCTGATATGCTCCGTCCCCCCAGGGGGACCCAGAAGAGCTGCCAGTTCTTTAGATCAGAAGTCTCAGCCTGAGATGCTGGTGCAGCCGGTGGGGACACAGGTGTGGGGACCACCCCAGGGAGGACACAGAGTCCACAGGGGCCCAAGACTGGAGACGCTGGCCACTGTGTGCATGCTAAGCTGCTTCAGTCATGTGCGACTCTCTGGGACCCCATGGACTGTAGCCCGCCAGGCTCCTCTGTCCATGGGATTCTACAGACAAGCGTACCGGAGGGGGTTGCCATTTCCTCCTCCAGGGGGTCTTCCTGACCTGCATCTCTTTATATCTCCTGCATTGGCAGACGGGTTCTTGACCAATAGCAACACCTGGGAAGTCCTGGGCGACTGAGGGGCACTCAGTCCACAAGCTGCCCCGTGGCCACACCTGTTGGAACGACGGGCTTGGTGTCAGGCCTGTGTGCTCAGATGGGGACTTACTGGGACCCCAAGCAGCCAGGCCAGGAGGGAGGAGGAGAACACTGGGCCCAGTGGGACAGGACAGAGGCAGACCACCTGCCCCGTGAGCCCGGAAGCTGTGGGCCTCCAGGAGTGGCTGATCGGGCTGGAAGCACAGTAGGTGTCAGGGAGGCCGGGCGGTGGAACAGAGTCTGGTCTGTGATCCCGAGGCCCACCCGACTCAGCAAGAGCCCAGCAGGGACTGTGGGGGCGGGAGCAGAACCGCTGCACCCCCCTCCCCGGATCTGGCTCTGCACAGGGCGGCTCAGGGCCCGGCTCTGTGCTGCCCACGCAGCGCTGAAGCCTGGAGGCACAGGAGCGAGGGCTCCCTGGAGGAGGTGTGGGCTCCCTGGTGTGGACAGGGAAAGAGCAGAGGGGTCCAGTGCATCCTGAGGGGATGGAAAGAGAGTGTTCAGGGGAGAGACTGGGGACAGGAGCTACCTCGTCCACGGGGATGGGACCTGACAAGATGGTGGAGGGGAGTCTTTAGTGCCAAGCCTGGCCTTGTTGACAAGCAACCCCATTAGAGCAAATATTTCCCTTTGGTGGACACACTCAATGTGCAGCTAAGAGCTGCTTCCAGGCACAAATGCACAAAAAAAGGCGACTTTCCAAAGCTGCTATCTTCAGAGTGGAAGGTCTTCTCCGGCCCAGGGCAGGGAGGGGCAGGCTGGTCTGTGCCCACACAGCCTCGCCACGGCCCCTTCTCCTGTTTCTCTTCACTGGCTTCAATGGGGAGTCACCGCTTTATTGGTCAATAACTTCTGAAATTTTAGTTTTGTAAAAAAAAAAAAATCAGATGGTTTTCTTCCTTGTGGGTGTGGGGAGGTATGTATATGCATGAGTGCTCGAGGGGTGTGCAGGGGGGACGGGCATGGGGGGGTGTTTGTGGCAGAAGCATTGGAGCTGACGATGCCGCATCTGAAGACAGAGGCTCAGTCTGCCTCAGACCCAGGGGGCGGAGCGGGGATGGGGGGCAGGGGACACTGCTGCTGGCTCCTCCCAGGACGCTGATTCTGTGATCTACGTCTACTCAACAGCCTGCAGGCCCAGGAGCAGTTTTTGAATGAAACAGGCAAAATTTAATTGGAGATGACTGTTTCTAAAAGCTTCTTGCAGCAAGATGGCCTTCATCACATCAGTGTGATTAAGGGATGGGCGACTTTGAGGGGGTCTCACACCTGGATCAAAGGCACATATGGCTGATCACTCATCACCCTGCCTGCTCCTCCAGCCGGACACCATGGTGATGTCCACCCACAGGTCAAAAGACCACTGCCCGTCACGCCCTGGCCCCACCCACTGCATTCTCAGTGAATGCATGAATGAACACGTGGAATTCATGGGACGCTCCCTGCCTACACACATCACCCGGGCCAAGACCGAGCCTAGCTCCTTCTTCTGGGGGAGCCACGGGCCCTCCTGGGGGTGCCCTGGCCTAGCAGCGGTTCTCACTCCTGTGAGCTTCAGGACTTAGAATTAGCAAGGACCCCAAAGACACTTGGTGTACAGTTATACCTATTGCTATTCACCTTACCTCAAAGTAACACTGAGAATTTTTAGAATATCTATTAATTCATCTAGAAATAATAATAATCCCACTACATGCTAACATAATTCTGTGAATAAAATAGCATACTTCCACTGCCAAAAAGCATAATTTAGTGGAAAGAATGGCGTTGTTTTAACTTTTATGATTCTTTTCCACATCTGGCCTGAAGGAAAATATGCTGTTTCTCTATCTGTTCAAGGCTCCACCTGCTTCGAGGTGTCACGTTGGATGAACCACATAAAGGCCGTCTGGCCTCACACAGGTGTGTCGTTTGCAGACAGAGCATTGGGTGGCTTTTCCAGGTAATCGTGTGCATTCTGCTTTGCTGCTACTCCCAAATTTGATGAGTGGCAATTTTTTTTTAGTTTATTTTAACTGGAGGATAATTAGTTTACAATAGTGTGATGGTGGAATCTGAAATCTTACCAGAACTTAATGACGTGAAGTCCGTGTGCTCAGTCACATTACAATTCAAGGGCCAGTCTTTCACTTCGAGTGAATCTTTTCCAAAGCATGACTTGCCAATGTGATGGTGAGTCGCCATTTCTTAGACACAGTGGAAGCTGTTTCCTCACTGAGTTATGTAGGTTTCCTGAACACTGAAACATTTCCTCACACAACATTTAGCAAATCACATTCATTAATATCACCATCAACTCATCAGAAAAGTGCTGGGGACTGGTCAAGCTCTGGTGCGGACACAAACTTTCCAAAATGCTAACTTTCATCACTGACAGTGGGGAGGACGGCCCAGGTCATCTCTCGCGTATGTCTCTGCAGGACACGTGTTTGGGAAGGACAAGGGTCCCTCAGCACCATCACTGACCCACAGACCTCCGGATGTCCGCGCTGCCCGGAAGCCCCTCCCACAGAGGACCCGCGTCCCGCTGCAGACGTCCGTCCCTGAGTCCAGCCCCCACTGGGGGGGCCTCGTGTGCCCCCTCCAGCTGACGTGGGCCCCAGTGCCCACTCCCGGGAATCTGGGGAGGCTGTCACCCTCAGAGCCGAGCAGAGTGGGCATGTTTTTTCCCGCAGGAGTTGATGCTTTGTTTTTAGTAAACATCTGACAGTTTGATTTTGAAGAATTCTGAGAATGAAACGCTCCAAAACATGTCTTCTAAGAAATGACTGAAAGCACAGGGACGTTTTCATGGCATCTGGCGCTCACTGCCACATGTGAATGAAGAAGGAATCGGTCCCCGCGGCCAGAGCAGGTGGGCGCGGCCTGGCGGGTGGTCCACAGCAAGGGGCTCCTGCTCGCGGGAGGCCGAGGCCAGGGCTCCTCTCCTCTGCCTGCTCGGTGCCCCTCTGCTGGGAAAGACACACGGACGCACACGTCATGTCTGGCCTGCAGGTGGGCCTGGCCGATGCTGTCTGTCACCCTCCAGCATCCTCCTCACGACAGCTTCCCTGCGAGCAGGAGGTAGGGAAGGTTCCTGGCTGCCCACTTGCACGCCCGCTACACGCCCCCAGCCCTCCCTCACCCTCAGCGGCCCCCTCCCTCAGCAGCCCCCCTGCAGGTGCCGAGGTCCCCGGAAGAGTGACCTCACCTGCTAGGTTGTAGATGGCCGGAGAAACTTGAGTCCCTCCGCGTCCCAGTGGGCCCGCAGCCCCATCAGTCAGCCCAGACCCCTTCATACCTGGGGCCACCTGTGAGTGGCTGGAGGAGGGACTGGGGGGCTCAGGGGTCTTCCCAGGCCGTCCCTTTCAGGAAGAGGCCCATCTAGAAAGTTCCTCCATGTCAGGACATGCACTTCAGCAGGTGTTGCCTCTCCCCAGAGCGCACGAGAGGCTGAGATGCACGTTTGAAGGGCAGCTTTAGGCAGAGTAATGTCCCCAGGACTCCAAGGCCCTGGTGGCGGACGGGACGTGGCACGCAACTTTGCCATCTGCTGCCCGCCGCCGGGTCTACTCCACAAGCTATCGAAGAGCCTGGGGGGCTCCCCCATCCCAGGAAGCCCTGTTCTCCCCCAGGCATGAAAAAGCCAAAGTGCAGTCATCTGTGCCCAAAAAGCCGGAAACTTGAGACGCCGCTGGTGAGAGACAAGGGTTTCTGCTTGCTCCCCTCCAAGTGGCTGAGGAGCTTCAGACTTCCTGAACCGCCGTGTTTAGCAAGACTCTCTCCGTATTTGAGGTTTGTGCATGGTCATGTGTGCAGATGTGTGAGCAGGTGTACGTGTGTGTGTAAGCACGTGTGTGAATGTGTGTGTGCGTGCGTGCGAGGTGGGGTGTGCATTTGTGTGGGCATGCGTGGAAGGCTGGAACACATCGACTCTGTCCCGTCTTGTCTTCTCCACCTACAGGGTTTAAAGACTACTTAAGCACACGGCCTGTGTCGACGTGCAGCTGTGGGCAGGGCGTGCACTCTGACACCTCATGATCAGACTTTTCCTGGGGCAGGAAACCACCTCGGTCCCACAGCCTCCCAGGGGCCTCTTCCCGGACAGGTTTGGTGGGAAGAGACTTCAACTCAGCAGACACCCAAGTGCTGGAAAATGCCCAAGCCCGTGGGTTCACCGGGAGCTCTCGCTGGAACCCATAAACGCTTCCCCCTGCTCTGTTTCTCCTGATGGGCAGGGTGACGTGAGGGCCCAGGGTCCGAGGGAAGAGAACACGCAGCTCCACGTGCCTCCCTCACTGCCTGCCAGCCCTGCAGGGGCCATGCCCAGAGCAGCCCCAGAGCTGGGCGCATCTTCCTCGGAAGCACATGCAAAAACAGAGATACCCAGCCGGGCTTGGCTGCCAGCGATGCCTGGGAAGCAGGCCCATTTCCTGCAGAGAAGATAACAGTGATCCTGCCGACAGGGTGGGAGGAGGACCATTTGGGTCTTAACAACCTGGCAACAATACACTTATTTTTTTTTAAGATAAAGGGTCCCGAGCAGTAATTGACAGTGCTGTTTTTAGAACATAAAAGCTATTTTTACTGTACCCAAAAGAAGACGGAAATTCTCTCTCTTCTGAACAAATGCCACTTTTCTGTTTCCACAGATCTTTATGGATATATGATTGGATTTAAATTCACTTTTCTGCACTCTCCAAAACCCCACTCACCAGCCTTGGGTCTTAGGGTGGGAGGAGGAGCCTCCTTGGCCACAATAAGGGAATACAGGGGATCGGGTTGGTACCCCCAGCTCCTGCACTCCTCAGCACCCCATGGCTGAATTCCCCATCTGCGCAGTGGGAACCCCAACAAGCACCTGCTGGAAGGTCGCAGAAGGAATTCAGAGACAGACGATGTTTCCTTGGCCATGCAGGCTCCCTAGAGCCGGGTCTAGTGCCTACCTGCTGATATGGGCTGCAGGCCATCGTCACAAAAAAATGGACTTCAAAAGTTAATAAATTTCAAAGACTTAATAAATAAAATCTCTTAATGTCATTGTTTTTTCTTCCACCCATAAACTGTGCCTTTCCATGGCTCCTGCTGCAGCTCAACTCACCAGCCCCTGGAGGTGTCAGCCGCCAACCAGTATGGCAGCCTGGAGAAGCCCCCGCCGGGCACAGCTCACTGCTTCCATGTGTGGGGACCACCACGGGTAAAAGGACCTCTCTGCGACGGAAGAGGCCCTGGTGAGCTGGAGGGGGTTTGTGTAGGACATAAGCCATTGGACCACACACACCCCTTGGGCTGCTTGCCTCCTATCTCTCTGCTGCCCAAAACTAGGGGGAGGCTACAGTTATTGGTGGGTGCCCCAGACCTGGGGTGGGAGGTGATGTGTGCACACAGAGCCGAAGCCTCAGGGTCGCCCCACGTCCTGTGTGGTTAGAGCAGCGTGCAGGTGGGTCGCGCGTGTGTGTGCTCATGTGTGTGCATGCACACATGTGCATGCGTGTGACTGTGTGCACGTGGGGGCACACGCGTGTGTCTGTGCATGTGTGTGTGCACGTGTGTGTGTGTGGCAGGGCCTGGCTTTGGTGGGAAGGGGAGAATGACTTGAAACACACACCAAAGACCCCTCCTCTGACTATTTGGCACGTCCGAGCAGGGCCAGAGAATGGAACAGAAGGAGCCAAGATACACCGTCTCCATGCGGGGTGGGCCAGGCATGGGGGCGCGGTCCTGTCGACCCAGGGCGCCGCTCTCCTGCCGGGAGCAGAGCCTCACTGGGGGCACCGCTTGGCTGTCCTTCAAAGAAAGACTTTTTCCACCCCAGGCAAGCCCGGGAACTGAGGGAGGAAAGGAGTGGGGAGCAAGAGGGAGGGACCCAACCACAGAATCTGGTTAGAGAGAGAAAATAGGCGGGGGTGGGGGGAGCCGGATGAAGCCAGCACCTGGCTGCCTGGCGCCCTGAGCTCGGCGCTGGTGAGCAGAGAGCAGCCAGCTGCGTGGTTCCTGTCCTAGAAGTTCCTCCAGCCCTATCCCAATCGCAGCAGCCTCGGACGGTGCAGACTGCGGCCAGCACCACACACACATGTGTCCCAGGGTGCCAGGTCGGAGGGTTTCCAGGGGAGGGAGGCAGGAGCGGGGTCTCGGAAGGCCGCAGAGGGGAGACGTGCAGAAACGTTGGTGGGGATGGAGGAGAAGCCGCTGGAGCCTTGGAGGAGGCTCATCTGACCTGCAGAGTTCAGTCCACACCACAGAGAGGAAACGGGGTAAAAACCAGACTGAAGTTCGCTCTGCACCCTTTGCTGCCTGAGGGCCCTCAAGAAATCGGAGGATCTTACGTCCATATCAGGGAATTAAAATGCTTGGCTTCTTTAGCCCTCATTTGATGCCATTTGCATGTAAAGCATAAACCACAGATGAAAACACGGTGATTATCCCTCATTCCACGGCTCCTCCCTGACGTCTTAGGGTAATTGCATCAGCCTGGGTTAAGATCTCCCCGTCCTGCACTCCCAGGACACAGTGCATCTTCGAAAGCTTGGTCTTACACGTTTGCTGGGATTGAAGCCCCAGGGCACGCCATGGAGGTATTTGGAGAAGAGAGTGGAGAAGGGGTGAATCCACTCGGTCCTGGTGGAGGCGCGTGGGGCACCCAACACCCAGCCTCCGGCTCTGGTCTCAGCTACCGCTGGCCTCTGCATCCACCGCCGGGCTCTGGGTGAAGGACCCCCCGACTCGTATTTTGAGTGGAGAGAGAAGCCGCAGAGGCAGGCGTCTACTCCAGGAACCCCAGCCGATGATGGTAGACGAGGCGCAGACGTGTGAACGCTCCAGGGCTTTCCCTCAATATTGCCTCCTGCAGGACCATCCGAGGGGCACTTGCCTGCTGCCTGCGAACTTCCTGGGTGGGCGGCTCTGCAGATGGGGGAGTCCCCCCCAGGGTCTGCTCCAGGCGGGGGGCGGCCTTGCCTCTGTCAGAGGGAGCAGAAGAAAGCATGTCCGCTGGGGAGAGAGGAGCTGGCTGCGCAGCAGTGGGGGCGCGGCCAGTAGGGAAACATGGGAAGTGGGGGCGGGGTGACCGGAGGCAGACCCCCGCACCACAGGAGTCGGCCCAGGGGGCGCCGAACCCAGCCTCCGGGGAGCGGCAGGGACCCCTGAGGACTGACAGGATGCTGCCAGGGGAGGAGAGGGGAGAAGCGGGAAAAGAACCCTGAGTCACCTGGGGCCTGGGCGGCCACGGGAGGGGCAGCGGTTCAGGGGGAGAGACTGGGGACAAGACTCTCGGCAGGTCTGAACGGGATCCTGGGGCGCGGAGCGGGGCGCTGCGGTGGGGCGCGGTGGGACTTGACGTCAGGACTCCTGGCGGGACTCCCACAGAGATGGCCCAGAAAGGTGAGGCCAGACTGGGTGGTATTTTGGGTGGATGGTAAGCTGGCCCTGATCCAGACAGGAGGGGAGACAAGCGGGATGCTGTGAGGACCGAAGTGGCTTTAGAACTCTGGCCGGGGCCGGAACTGCCAGAGGGAAAAGAGGGCAGTGGTGTCTGGATGGAGACCCAGGGAGGTCTGGAGAGAAGGGGAAGGAAGAGCCAGGTGTGGAGAGAAGGCCGTTGGTCAGCCCAAAAAGCAAGGCTTGCATAAAAATAAGAATAATGATAATAAAAAGATAAGAGGCTTCCCAGGTGGCTCAGGGATGGAGAATCTGCCTGCCAATGCAGCTGACGTAGGAGACGTGAGTGTGATCTTTGGGTTGGGAAGATCCCCTGGAGGAGACCCATGAGTGGCATCCCCTCACTCATCACGCTCTGCAAACAAGCCCTCCTGCCAGAGAAACCAGCATGCGCCCTGAACAGGCACTGCAGAGGGTGTCTGAGCCCGACCACAGAGGTGTGCAACCAGGTCCTTCTCCACTGCAAGTGTCACGTCCAGCCGGTGGCCCTTTACTGAGAGGCCAGGGCCCCCGCACACTGTCTATCCCACAGCGGGGCGGAGACAGGCTGTGTTAGGAGGAGAGACAGGTGTGTTAGAAGGAGAGACAGGCCGTGTTAGGAGGAGAGACAGGCCGTGTTAGAAGGAGAGACAGGTGTGTTAGAAGGAGACACAGGCATGTTAGAAGGAGACACAGGCCATGTTAGAAGGAGAGACAGGTGTGTTAGAAGGAGAGACAGGTGTGTTAGAAGGAGAGACAGGCCGTGTTAGAAGGAGAGACAGGTATGTTAGAAGGAGACACAGGCATGTTAGAAGGAGACACAGGCCATGTTAGAAGGAGAGACAGGTGTGTTAGAAGGAGACACAGGCATGTTAGAAGGAGACACAGGCATGTTAGAAGGAGAGACAGGCCGTGTTAGGAGGAGAGACAGGCCGTGTTAGGAGGAGAGACAGGTGTGTTAGAAGGAGACACAGGCATGTTAGAAGGAGACACAGGCCATGTTAGAAGGAGAGACAGGTGTGTTAGAAGGAGACACAGGCATGTTAGAAGGAGACACAGGCATGTTAGAAGGAGAGACAGGCCGTGTTAGGAGGAGAGACAGGCCGTGTTAGGAGGAGAGACAGGTGTGTTAGAAGGAGACACAGGCATGTTAGAAGGAGACACAGGCCATGTTAGAAGGAGAGACAGGTGTGTTAGAAGGAGACACAGGCATGTTAGAAGGAGAGACAGGTGTGTTAGAAGGAGAGACAGGTGTGTTAGAAGGAGAGACAGGCCGTGTTAGAAGGAGAGACAGGCTGTGTTAGAAGGAGAGACAGGCCGTGTCAGGAGACACAGGCATGTTAGAAGGAGACACAGGCCATGTTAGAAGGAGAGACAGGTATGTTAGAAGGAGACACAGGCATGTTAGAAGGAGACACAGGCCATGTTAGAAGGAGAGACAGGTGTGTTAGAAGGAGAGACAGGCATGTTAGAAGGAGAGACAGGTGTGTTAGAAGGAGAGACAGGTGTGTTAGAAGGAGAGACAGGCCGTGTTAGAAGGAGAGACAGGCTGTGTTAGAAGGAGAGACAGGTATGTTAGAAGGAGACACAGGCATGTTAGAAGGAGACACAGGCCGTGTTAGAAGGAGAGACAGGTGTGTTAGAAGGAGAGACAGGCCGTGTTAGAAAGAGAGACAGGCCATGTCAGGAGACACAGACATGTTAGAAGGAGGCACAGGCGTGTTAGAAGGAGACACAGGCCAGGTTAGAAGGAGAGACAGGCATGTTAGAAGGAGAGACAGGCATGTTAGAAGGAGAGACAGACATGTTATAAGGAGACACAGGCCGTGTTAGAAGGAGACACAGGCCGTGTTAGAAAGAGACACAGGCCGGGTTAGAAGGAGAGACAGGCCGTGTTAGAAGGAGAGACAGGCATGTTAGAGGAGAGACAGGCCATGTTAGAAGGAGACACAGGCCGGGTTAGAAGGAGACACAGGCTGAGTCAGAAGGAGACACAGGTGTGTTAGAAGGAGACACAGACTGTGTTAGAAGGAGAGACAGGCATGTTAGAAGGAGACATAGGCCATGTTAGAAGGAGACACAGGCCATGTTAGAAGGACAGGCATGTTAGGAGAAACAGGCATGTTAGGAGACACAGGCCGTGTTAGAAGGAGACACAGGCTGGTTAGAAGCCTGGAAGGTGGTACATGGCATAAAGAATGTGGTCCCCGGAACCAGACCACCTGAAGCTCCAGAACGGAGCCCACGTCCAATCTACAGGGCTGTGTCTCCGGGCAGCTTTCTCAGCCCCTGCCTCTGTCTCCTCAAATTCCAAGGGTGAATAATCAGGATTCTTCTTCTCAGGGTTGAAGAGGGGGCTACTGAGATAATCAGGCAAAGCACTTAGAACCACGTCTGCATCATAATGACAAGTCTTTAACTGCGGTTATTTTTGGAAGAAATAATACAGCTGGCTGTTGGTGCAGCTAGGAGGAGAGAGACGGTGGTGACCTCAGCCAGCAGGAGAGACAGGTGCAGAGTTGCAACAGCAAGTCTGGGGTGCAGAAGAGATCACGTGAGCCCGTCACACACACCCCCCAGCCCCCTGAGAAGGGGAGAACCGAGGATGCTCAGAGCAAGGCAGGAAGGCATGCTGAGGACTAAGTGGAGAATGGGACAGCTGGTTCCTAAAGACTGCACTCAGCAGCCCTGAAAGAAGGCTGCCTCCTGCCCCAGCCACTGTGCACATTTTGCGCAGCACTTTTAGAAGACGCTACTGAAAGAAATGGCCCCCTTCCAACCTAACACCAGTCAAAGACACACACGTGTCCTTCACAGACACTCAGAAAAATATAGGAAACAGCATTTTTGTCATCAAAGAGCGAGAGAAAAGACACTTTCAAAGGAGAATGAAAACACTTCAAGTGAAAAAATTCCCCCTGATGACAAAGAAAAGTTAAAATACAGTTTCCTGAAAACAAAAACTGAAGGCAGAGATATAGAGTACACAGTTTCCAAGAGATTAAAAAAAAATAAGCTGCTAGAGTTCAGATAAAGAAATGTAAGAGAAATGTTAAGATATACAGAAGTAAAAGTCACAATATAAATAGAAAAAATGAATAGATATTGCTAAGAAATGAATAACTTGAAAGATCAAAATGCAGCTGAAGAAAAGAGTATCAACATGATTAGAGAGAAAATAAAAGATCTGGAAGAAAGACAAAAAAGGGATAAGATACTCAAACTTGGGGGTCCCCCCAAAAGAGAACAGAACAGATAGAACCAAAAAAAAAAAATGCAAAGATACAATAGAAGAAAACTTAAAAGAAGATATGACTCTGCTCATTGAAGGGATGTATCATGTCCCAAGAAATATGTAAACAGAGCAATCATATTCTAGTCAAATGACTGGATTTTAAGTGTAAATCACCCCATGAGCACCTGGGGGAGAAAACGTTGAATTGCCTCCACAGGAGAAGCAGCCAGGCTGTCGATTTCCTCCGTCTGCAGAGCGTCCCCGAGACAAACTGTTGCTCTTTTGCAGAGAGAATATGACCATGTCTTGAAACATGCAAGAATGGAGGCAGTGTAGCCCCAAGCTCTTTTTGAGAAAAAAGGCCTGAAATCCAGTCAGCAAGAGATGCAGGAAGATGTCTTCAAAGCTCTGTTTGTTTCCTAAATATAAATTCAGAGCTACAGCTAAACTACTATGTGAGTTTCAACTATAGAACAGAATTGAGCCTATCATTTCCCGGTGAAGAAATAATATAGCAATAAAATCAGGAGGTGGTGGAGGAAATAAATACTTAAAGTGATTGATGAAGTACTAGAAATTTTAGTCTTTCATAAAACTGTTTAAAAATAATCACAAAAAATTAAAACTATATATATAAAAAAGCTTAAACTAGAAGGTTGAAGAGAGGAGAGTTTAGGAGAAAGGATAAAAAAAATAAGTTCCATGGGGTTGGGAGAGATTAGAACTGTCCAACAAAGAGAGGTTTTACTATATTAATAAAAGCTGTAAGTAACTGCTAGGTCACAAACAGGCAATAAACACCCAAATCACATGCACATACGAGTAAAAATACACACGCAAGTGGCATGAGTCATATAGCTTAAATGAAGAATCTTTTAAAAGGCAACATGACAAAACCAGGAAAAAATTGTCATATTAAATATAAATGGATAAAACTCATCTATTAGTAGGAATAAAATTATTCTAAGCTAAAACTCTGAAATGTACAGAATATGCAGATACAAGAGATGGGGGTCTTGCAAAGGAGCTTGGGGTGGACTAGGGGTAGAGAGAAAGGGTTATGAGAAAAGCAACATAAGAAAAACAGAACAGAAGACAGCCATCCAAAATAAAAATCTGTCAAATTTCTTCCGTGCCACTTAATACTACATTAAAATGCTTAAAGCAAAAACTGTAAGAAATACAAGGGTAAATATGCCTATCCTCCCAGGAACACATCACTCTGATGCTAGCCAGACTGTTCCAGAGAAGAGGTGGAAAAGTAAAACATGTGAATACTTTTTATTGTCAGCATAATAGTAGCGCACAAAGATAACTGAATGCAGACGGGCTTCAACACAGTCTCCTTCAGAAATATTAATGTAAAAATAATAAACACGTGGAATGGAGCAGAGCGTGAAAGGCATAATGCACGACAGTCAGGGCCCAGCTGAAGAATAAGAAGTCTGATCGACATAAGAAAATCTATTACAGTACCCACCAAATGAGTAAGTCATTGGAGGAAACCCGTATGGTGAGCCCCTCAGGTTTCTTAGTTAAGCTTTTCATTTTGAGATATTTATAGATTCACATCCAGTTGTAAGAAATAATACAAAGAGACCCCCTGACCCTCGCTACCCAGTGGCAGCACCTTGGAGCACCACAGCGCAGCATCACGTTGAGGATGCTGACAGGCGTGGTACCTGTCCATCACCACAGGGTGCCCTGTGCTGCACGCCCCCTCCCCTCT